CACCTTTGTTGCTGTGCCTCTGATATCATAGTAGAAAAGTTGAGGTTTTAAAAAAAAAAAAAAGTGTTTTATTCTCAGCCAATAAGCCTAATTAACTCCATAAAAGTATCAAATGTGTACGTTTATGAACAAGTATGTTTCTAACTGTCTGAAGCCAGAGGAGGAGTGTGGAAGTCACAGAGACCAGCTACCATCCTGGATTGCCTCAGTAGAGAAGGACACCTGGACAACTTAATTAATTTATTTAGATGTTGGTTGGAAGGAAATTATAGGGCTCCGAAGATGGAGATGGAACATCCCCTTCTGTCCCTTGAAGTTCCAAGGCATCTGATTCTAAGATTCCAGTCTTGGCCTAGCTCTAGTCCTAGCAGCCTCTCCTTGGACATTTAACAATACTTTTATTGATAAGACATAGAAGTTATTTAGAAAAATAGTTTACCTTCACATTTCCATGACACTTTCTGCAAACAGTGTAATTTTTTACCCAAATGTTTTGTACCACAAAGAAGCATATTGTGGTGGCAGCTACAGTGGCAGTATCATATACTGTCTACTCTGGAAATAAAGTTATCCTGTTCTTGGCCATGGGAATTATATGCTTGCATTGGAAAAGAAACCTACCTCCTATTAGAGCGGTGGTTCTTAACCAGGGGTCCGGGACCCTCGGGGGCCACGAGCAGGTTTCAGGGGGTCCATGAAGAAGGGCCAGTGTTAGACTCACTGGGACCCAGGGCAGAAAGCCAAAGCCCCACTGCATGGGGCTGAAGTCCAGGGCCCTGAGCAACTTAGCTTGACAGAGGCCCCTGTAGCATGGGGCCCAAGGCAATTGCCCTGCTTTCTACCCCCTAACACCGGCCTTGGCTTTTATATGTAGAGAACCAGTCATTGTGGCACAGGTGGGCCATGGAGTTTTTATAGCATGTTGGGGGAGGGGAAGCTCAGAAAGAAAAAGTTTGAGAACCCCTGTATTAGAGGACCTCTCCCCCAAGGTATTTTAAAGAAGGAAAGACATGACTCTTTGTTTTTAAAATAAATAACCCTTTTAGAAAAATGAATTTCAAAGCATTAGTTGCACTCTCAAGTAGAAGACAGCTGGACACACCTCTTTTAGCTGTAATAATCTTTTATTAAAATTGTATCATACATTAAGTTTTGTTAATTTAATATGTATATGTTCTATATGCAAATAATGTAAAGAGTTTCCTACTTTTTATATCAGCCTTAAAAAAGTTGCATGTGCAAATTCAAGGGGAGAATAGACATATTTAAAACAATCACATTTTGTTACATCAAATACACTATATACAAATAGCCCTTTTGTTCATTCAGCTTTTACATATATGGCCTGAGTATAATTATAACAATTGAGGCTGGGGTTTTCAAAAGAGACTAATGGAGTCAGTGCCCAAATCCCATTAACATGATGGCGGCACCTCATTCTCTTCAGCCCCTTTGACAATCCCAGCATAAAGGGAAATGTGATGTTTGAGTTTAGAATTTTGCAGTATTTACTAATGCCTCTGAATTCAAAAATACACCTTGTATTGAAGGGAGAATATAGCATGTTGAAATACATTATTTATTTACCAACTCCAATATTCTGTCAGCACTGTTGATTGTTTCTTTCCATTGGGCTCTCGATTAAGCCCTGTATGCATAATTTTAAATGTGAAATGTATAATAGAAAACTAATGCAGTGATCTTAAAGGCTCAGAAGTTAACCTAAGGTACTTAAGACCCTGCTCCTGCAACAGGCTCTGAATAGGTATGGGGTTCTCAAACTGGGGGTTGGGACCCCTCAGGGGGTTGTGAGGTCATTTCATGGGGGGTCACGAGCTTTCAACCTCCACCTCAAACTCCGCTTGCCACCAGCATTTATAATGGTATTAAATATATTAAAAAGTGTGTTTAATTTATTAGGGAGGTCGCACTCAGAGGCTTGTGATGTGAAAGGAATCACCAGTAAAAAAGTTTGAGACCCACTGGAATAGGTAGATCTGTACACCTGTACAAAGCCCCATCAACTTCAGCAGGGTAAAGGGTTTCATGCAGATGCATGTCTCTGCTCACACAGAGCTCATTACAGGAGTGTGGCCTAACCTTGTTATAATGTGTCAGGGAATAAACTTTGGACTGTAAACTTTTAATGTTAGGGTCGGGAAAGAGAGAAAAGGACAGAGAGAACCAAATGATATGTAAGTATTCCCAGCCTTCTGCTGACGTTACTGTAAGTGTTGGTACTGAGACAAAGCAGTTTTGTTGGCTTGTGCTCTGCAAGAAAATCCAGACTTTGCAAATAAATAACAGCAAATAACAGCAAATTTGCAGAGGGGCAAGAGATTAAAATATTTATCAGTGTCTCTTTGACTGTACTAGTCCCTAGCCCCGAGTTTTGCCTGACTAGAGTTACCACCTTTGAAATGCAAAAAAAATGGCACCACTCCCACCCCTACAAGACAATTCTGCAAATCCTGCCCCCAGTAGCCACTTACAGTATCTAGAGTGATGGCACATATAGATAAGATTGATAACATCATTTTCTTACTTAAGCTGCGGAGGTGGGAACACTGCAGCATCTTTAGCTGGACACAGAAACTTTTAACATTAGATATCCCAGTGTAATGTGGTGATAATAATGCAAATCTTTAGACCCATGTAAAAAAAAGGCAGATTAAATTATTTTTCTGGCAACTGGCAAATACATTAAAAAATGGCCAGACCAGTCAAATACTGGCCAGGTGATAACCCTACTAAAGGCTGGTCCTGTGGTTTTTTAGTGTCACTTTGTTAGCTCAGCTATTTCAAACATCTGGACATTTTTCATCCATTGAGCTCTCCAGTGCATTCCAGTAGATCAGCAGCTCATAAGGTTTCACATAATGGCATGTCACAATTTTCTTGAAGCGACAAAGAGAGAACTCAACCCTGTCTGAGAAGAATGTCTGTTCTGAATGAAGTTCCTCCAGATTGATTTTTAGTTTATCAAGACACAGTCCTATGAAAACATCCTCCAGTTTAATAAAAGGGACACTTTCTGAAATATTATAAACCTGACTAGCAACATCAGTAGAGAAAACATAACCAGTCCCCGAACAAAATGGAGGATATGTGCTTCCTGGATATTCATCTTTACTCACATACCATTTACTATTTATCTTTCTTATTGGGAGCTCATTCGTCTTTAAAAAGCCTGTGAAGAATCCAGTGCTTCTGTTTTTTCTTAAAAGAAGTTCAGTCAGGTAAAAGATATTGACAAACATATCTGAGTCAGTTTTCATCACAAACCTGGATTGATGACAAAATTTGTGAACCCATTCAATTCCCATCATTGTCTTTAAAGTCAAATTGTAATATGCGTCTATAAAATCCTTCTGGATAATGTCTCTGTATTTCTGACTTTCAGCAATAATACCAGTTTGATCATTTTGGTTCATGGTGGTTCCCAGAAGAAAATATGTCACGATGTGGTTGCCAGCAACTAGTCTGTGTTTCCCCCATGTTTGACGGATAGCCATCCTAGCTTTATTTTGGCCATGTGACGATGTCACAAGGAGTACCAGGAACGGAAGAGTCCTACTGCAGTCTATATCTGGCAACTGCAAAAAGTTTCTGCTCTCTGTTATAAAAGTCAGTGACGTGGCCTCTTCCTTCTTTTGCCAGAATATACCGATTGCAATCAAATTCGGTTTGAATAAATACAAACAAGCAAGGGCCAATACTACAATTAAAAACAAAATCATTTTGAATCTCTTCGAAGCCATCTGAAAGAAACAAAAACAAATGGTACATTGGAAAATAATCTTGCTCCTTTGTATACCAAGCTCTGTGCTATTGCTTGGGGATTTAAGGGTGTTCTCCCTTCTGTTTAGCCTGTCCCCCAACAAGATCAACACAGGAAGACCCACTCATGTCAAGGGCATCCATGCAGATACGCCAGACCCATCACAGCTCTTTGCCCCCAACATGACATAGGAATATGACTATCAGAACTACACTGCCAGGAACTCTCCCACCAGCTAGTTCTCCAAGAATGCATCCCTAAAGAGAGAACTCTACAACATCGATTGTGGGAAACAGGCAGGAGTTTACCACAGCCCTGATGGGACAGGATAGTAGTAATAGCTTTATACCTTATTTCTCCATTCATTTTTTGACAGGTGACCTTGCCCTGAGTTCGCAAGCATGGGCCACTTAGAAGGCTAAACTAGATCACTAGTCTCTCCTTATCTCCACCCCGCCATTTATAGTGGGAGCTGCATATCGATTCAGAAGTTGCTCCTATGCTTTCCTCCCTTTCTGGGGTCCCTAGGGAACAGAGTTGAGGTCTCGGTGGCCATTTTGAAAAGGAACAGCAGATAAGTTGAATTGTGTTTTTCTCTTTTGTACAGTTCTGTGTTGGTTCAAATTATTAAAACACAAAAAAGGAGGACTTTGCATTTTACTTCTCTTTTTGGAGGAAAGATGTAATAAAAAAAAGTTAAACAGAATAATTCATGCTTGTAACAGAAGAATATTCTTTGGTGATCTCTTAATCACTCTTATCCACTTGGTACAAATCTTAATAGATAGAACAAGCCAGAAGAGCCACAAAGTCTTAGTGATAATAAAATAAAACACTTCTACATTCATAGTTTAACTTCGAGAGACAATTATAATTGAATTATTTACATATGTACAATGTGTGTTGCCAGTATCCTTTGAAAACTGCAGTCACAAAATAAAATTTTAGAACAGCCGTGAGTTTTAGAACAAAGGGAAAAGAGGGCAGAGAGAAGAGTATATAGAGTTATTTCTTCTTATGACCTTAGTGCCATTCTCTAGCAGTTATTCTCAGCTCTGGATCCCTGCAGAGCCACCAAGAGATTCTTTCCTAGAATGTGGGGAAGAGAAAAAAAATGGTACTACAGAGACAGCTTTCTCTTTTTCCCTATGTACTTTTGATAGGGAAATTAGCTTGATCTTCTAAAATTAAAGTGTTGGGCTTCTGTCCATGCAAGGAAATAAAAACATACCTGGTGGCATACGTACAAAGGCAAGTTTACATACTTCAGAGCCGCGGGTTCCTTGGGAGCTTAATCCTCTGACTAGGATTGTTCTGTATAGAATGTCCAAAACCATTTCAATGTCCTTCTTTTACTCCAATTCAGGTTCTTGGAATACCATGAAAATATCTGGTCACTAACATAAGTGTCCTTAAAGTTCTGAATAACTGTTCTTGGAGCCAAATCCAACTCACTTTACTTACATGAATGGTCCCATTAATTTCAAGGAGACTTCTCACATGCATAAGGCAAGCAAGATTTGGCTATTGCTTTATTATAGTTCATCTCCAGTCTGAGGCCTGCAGTGAACTATACATTGTTGAACTCAACTCCATTGTTACTAGATACAAATCCACTTTTCAGGCATATATATAAAAATACACCACATGCCTTCTTCCCTTCATTTGCCTGTTAATTGTCTTTAGATTGTAAGCGCTTCTGTTCAGGGATATGGTTTTTTAATATGTTTGTAAGGCTCCTAGCACACTTTTGAGTGTTATACAAATAATTTTAAAGTGTTAATAGTAATACACTTCTACCCCGATATAACGCGGTCCTCAGGGGCCAAAAAATCTCACCGCCTTATAGCTGAGACCGTGTTATATCGGGTTCAGACCGGCTTCCCTGGCAGTGATTTAAAGGGCCCGGGGCTCCACACGAATTTGGTTGTAACCCGGTAAAGCAGCGGGGTTCGGGTGGCGCTTTAAAGGGCCTGTGGCTCCCCACTGCTTTACCGCGTTATATCCGAATTCGTGTTATATCGGGTCGCGTTCTATCAGGGTAGAGGTGTAATAAAATACACAATACCGCCTCTCTCACTCTCTTGAGAGGCATGGGAGTAAGCAAACGAGCAACTTATTACTTGCTGAAAAGAAGGATAATCTGAATTTGTCAATGGAGCCACAGGAAATACTAGCACAATACAAGAAAAAAATCTTTATGCACAATAAGAGAACATGCAAAAGACTCAAAATTCTAGCAGTTCAGATCTTGAAACCTTTGCAAACACAAGCTCTTGATATATCCAAATTACTGAAGAGACAAAGACCAAAAATGATTTGCTATTGAGACAATTTAAAACATGTTCAGAAACTCATATATACATTGTTCTATAAGGCAAAACACACAGGGCCTGATTCTGATAAAATTTTAGCTTGATCCAACGCCATAGACTTTAAAGGAGTTCAATCAGGGTAAAACTAGCATAACGCCATTGGAGTTACTCTTCCTATGCTCCAGGGTAACTGAGCGCATATCAGACCAATATAAGGGTAAAACACATTATGTAATGCTTCGTCCAACACTTTCATAATTGTAACTTTTCTTAGGAACTAGTAATTAAAATGTTTATATATAAATGTATATGTATTTATTACAGCAGGCACAAGTAGAGCTGACTATATAATTAAGGCTGAATTTCAATTCCATTGTAACCCTTCTTCTTCAATTGCTTTCCATTCACTTTCTCAAACTTTCTACTTTTAGGCTGAAATGTTCCATGACCAGTCTAAGCTCAAAGGTGAATTTACTGAGTCACATCAGCTATTTGAATAATTTTGCGGTGAAATAATTTTTCCCATATGCTCCAATTAGAAATTTTACACTCTAACTGAAGCAAAAAACATCAAATGCGGTTTGTTTTGTAGATCTCAGTTTTGACTACTACATAAATTCTTAGACTCATGTTCTGATCTCAAATAATTCATGGATAGAAATAAAAGCTAAATTTGTCAAATTATTCACTAATGGCCAGAATCTGACATCCTTACTCACTCTCACTAGTAGCTTTCTCCGTGATCACTCATTAATTTCAGTGCAACTACTCATGGAGTAAGGTACTACACAACATGAGTGAGGGCCAGAATCTTGCCTTATGAAAGTTTCACTCTGTTCAATTTCTAGTTATAATGCATCACTCTTGGGGTCATATTGTGAATTCCTTACCCACGCTAATAAGAATGCCTAGTTCTTAACACACTACCTTTGTAGATCTTCAAGCTCTTTACAGAGGAGATCTGTATCATGAACCCTGTTTTACAGGTGGAGAAACTGAGGCATGGGGGATGAAGTGACTGGTCTGAGGTCACCCAGAAGTCCAGTGGTAGAGCTGAGACTTGAACCTAAGCCTCCTGAATCCCTAGTCCATTGCTTTACACTGTTGACAGAAACAGGCCCATTGAAACCACTGTCTCTATTGAGTAACTGCTCACTAATGTGAATAATAAGATCACAGTCTGGCCCTTAGTGAAAGAATGGTTCTGAATATAAGCATGGTAACCACTAGCTCCATTTAATCTTTATCAAGGTTTTTTGGCCTTTAAGTTCCCATTCCTGCAAATGATCACATGCAGCCAGAGTTAAAAGGTTTCTGCTTTGGCACAGCAGTCTGCCTGTATGCTATTAGTAACAGGATTGGAATCTCATTTAGAAAGGTGCATTTACTGGAGCAAAGCATTGTCTGTTTTTAATTGTTTTCAGTCCAATTAATAGTTACCATTTTTACTTGCCTAATCATACAATTTAAATTCCAGAATGCTAATTTTAAGAAGTTGAATGTTATTTTATTCTTTTGAAAAAAAAAATGTGTGCATGCACCCAGAGGTGTGATTCTTAGAAACCAAAAAAAAAAAAAAAGAATTGAATGAATTTTCACTCTAATAATATTTTGCTTTTGCAATGTTCTTTCATTCACATAGCTGCAGTTCCCCTCCCTCCCTCCCGCCCTAAATTGTCTTACCCAGATAAATTCAGTAAGCTTATTTAGTTTTGGTGGAAGCATTTGCTGCTCACTTACCCAGAGTCCTTGGACTCTTACCTGTTTTTATTTTATTCCCCTGGTAATCCCAGAAGCAAGGCAAGAATGACCATTGTGATAATTATTTCAGTTTTGTGTATAAGCTGGTTTTTCTCTATGCTTCTCATCATTGTAGTAGCTGAGCAGTTGCAAACATTAATAGATTTATCCTCACAACAATCCTTTAAGTATCGTTAGCCCGATTATACAGACAGGGAACTGAGGCTCAGAGAGAGATTAAGGTCGTTATCCTGAAAGTTGCTCCCTGCAAATGGATCCAGGCACCTCTATGGAGTCAGTCCATCTCAGTGGGACTCCATGAAGGTTCAGGGGTCTGCCCACACAGATGCAGTTGCAGGTGGGGCCTACATATCTAAAGCTGTGGGCACATAATATTTTCCGGCACTTTATAAAATTGTGGTTTACCCAAATTTACACAGAAAAACTGGGGGAGAGCCAGAAAGAGAATCCCCCTTTGCTGAGTTTGCATCCAATGCCTTAACCACAAGACCATCCTTCCTGCTTACAAGTGAACAGGGGGAATCTGGAAGTTAAAAAATACTTAATATTAAACTAGGCAGCTTCCAAAACCACCCTGTTTGGCTCATCTTTAGTTCAGTATGCTAGTGTTCTGTTTGCCTTCCTCACTGACAGCCGAGCTGCTGCTACCTTTCAGTGCCATAAAGCAGGTATTGAAATTCCTCAAACTTCTAGCTCCTCTCAATGTATACATTTTCAGTCTTGCTCAATGCATGCACCAGTGGCATATAGTCCAAGTTTGCTGCATGGGGTACATGGGAATCAGAAGGGTCACAGTTAGGGTGACCAGACGTCCCGATTTTATCGGGACTGTCCCAATATTTGCTTATTTGTCCCGCGTCCCGACCTACCTTTGGTTGGGACGCAAATTGTCCCGATATTTTGCCTCTGCTCACAGGCGGAGTGGAGCCCGGAGGGGGCTTGCACCCCCCCGGCTCCGCCCCCTCCTTCTCCCATTGGATCCCTCCCCAAATCCCCGCCCTGGCTCCGCCTCTTCCCCAAGCACGCCGCATTCCTCCTCCTCCCCCCTCCCTCCCAGGCTTGCGCTGATCAGCTGTATGGCGACGCAAGCGCTGGAGGGATGGGGGAGGTGGACACGGAGCGGAGGCAAGCTGGCGGGGGAGGGGGGGCAGGGTGTGGAGCTCCGGCGGCCGGTTTTTTTTTTTTGCTCAGCCGCCGGCTTTTTTTTTTTTTTTGCCCCCCCCTGCATCCCGATATTTCACCTGTGTGATCTGGTCACCCTAGTCACAGTGAAGTGAAAGATTAGTTATGCAGCCACAACTTGCTCCTTGTGCTATGGGCTATGGCTAGCCAGAAGGGGGAAGGCATCAAGGAACAGCCACTACATGTAACATGGTCCCCTAGGACTCCACTGTGAGTTACAGTGCAACTTCTTTCACAAAGAACAGCTGTAATTCTTTCACCATGGCTTCACATACCACAGACATTTGCCTGTTCAGAGTGTGGGGAGCCAGCCATTGGGCCCTTGCAAGTAGAGATGGTTGAAAACATCAATTCTTTTTTGCAGGAAATTTAGAAAAATTCTCTTTGTCTTCCCTAAATTTCCTGGTTGCGGGGGAGTGGGACAGTTTTTAGTTAAAATATTAAAACTACGTATGAAGCCAAAAACCAAAATATTCCATTTTCAAAACACATTTTTGGCAAAATGTTTCAGTTTTCAGTAAAAAGGTTTGGTTTTCAAAAAATTAAATTTTTTTACCGAAATATATTTTCAGATTTGACCAAAATGGATTTTCATTTTGGACATAAAGCCATTTTCCACCTAAAAAAAGTTTATGCCAATTTTTTTCAGACACATATACTTGCAGACCCTGTTGTCATTGTTCAGGGTCGGGGAGATGACCCATAGAATATGTTCCCAAATGTGTCAGGTGTGCACAGAATTTCCTCGTGGATCTTTGGGTTCTGAATGATTGCCTGGTCATACCCCTGCTGTGCTGACACATTTGCAGAGACTGCCTATGGGAGCCTGTGCTGTCTAGGTTTAGCCTCTTCAGGCTAAAACCTCCCAGTCCACAGCATTTTGCCCAGAAAATGGAGGACATAGG